CAGTTAGTTACCCCTTACCCAGAAACACAAGACAGCTTGACTGGACTTCACCCATCTGTGTTGTTGCACTCAGAGGTCCTTGGAGACAGAATATATCATTTTTTCAGCCTCTAGTACCAAGCCTTATCAATCCAAATCTAGTTTGCTATTTAGTTTGGAACAGGAATACCATGATTCTCTGAGAAGGAACAGCAGGGGGAAAATTATTTGAACTTTTAATTTCAGGACCCAGAGTCACAATAAGGCTGTGCTGGTGGAAGGACAGGGATGTGGACGGGATATGGGGCACAGGATCCCTCCCCAAGGATGTGGAGCTGCATTTAGGACACAAACTCACCCTTTGGAAAGCTGGGTGAGTCTCAAATAAGAAGAGATTTATTTTTTTAAGCTCTTTGCTCATTCTCCAGCTTTTCCACTGCTTTACAAAGGCATTTCAGAAATGTCCCAGAGCTGTGGAAATTCTGCAGCCACTTCTCAGAAAACCATGAGAGAATTATTCTGACATATGTTTCCATCTCCTGCTTTTTGCATTTTCCCCTCTTGTGTTTCTTTTTATTTGACCTAGAACAAACTTCTCTATGCTTACAATTCTCACTATTCCAAAGAAATTTCACTTGAGTGTTAGATCCCACTCAGTGGAATGCAGTGATGCCAATTAAATTCCAGTCTCCTTCCAGCAGTGTCCATGCAGCTCTGCAGAGCTTTTGTGTTAAATGATTTCCTGGGCTCTCCAGGAAAACAGGAACCAGGTGCTGTGGGATCATGGCCATGGCACATTGAAGGGGGAGCAGCACCTCAGCAAAGCACAGAGAACTCCAAAAACATCCCAGAGCTCTTTATTTTTTTTTTCTGGACAAACAATTTTATTTTCGGTAATGCGTCTATACACTGTACATTCAGTCACTGTGGTATATAAGCATAGCTATTTTCATACATAATCTCATAAAGTCCTTTATTTTACAATATTATCTGCATCAGGGGGAGGGGATGTGGAAAAGGGGGTGGAAAAGGACTATCAAGGTACACAGCGAAATAGATAAATATGCCAAGCTTTTTTCTTATTTTTTTTTAAATCAGGCATTTATAAACAAGAAAGCATACATTACTTACATAAAAATAGTTCTAGAATAGTAGAGTAAGTCATAATATTGTCATTAGCAGCAGCATAGGAGAGACCAGGATAACAAAAATGTGCTGAAATGCTATTGGCTATTATAAATGTAAAGATTTATTTTTCTTCAATTGAAAAAATGTCATTTCTGTGAGTTCTTTCAATTAAAAAAAAAAAAACAAAAAAAACCAAAAACCCGAAAAAACAAAACAACAACCAAGCCAACAAAAAACTTCTCTCTAAAACACATGGACTGCTGAGAGGGCAGAATGGAACAAAAACCAACCTTTTGGTAATAAAATACTTTACAGTGAAAATAAGGACAAATAAAATGCAAATGATGGAGAAAAAGGTTATAACCCACATTGAAAACTTGCAAAAAGATTTTGTTTTGTTTTTTCCTAACAGACAGCAAAGGTTCTTCTCAGTTAAAAACACAACTCATAAAACAAGACAACTACCAGGTAAGAAAGAGTTTTGAAAAAGTAAACACCATATACACTTATAATACAACAGTGTAAAATGAAAAAAAGTATTTACATGTTGAATTTACTTTTAATGTTTTTTTACATTGGCTAGTTCTGTTTGAAAAGCAGAATATTATGTATAGAGTTAGCTGCTCCATAGATATGAATGTTATTGCTGTTGGTTTTTTTTTTCCCTTCGTTAAGTCTTCACTCAGTAATAGAAACAAGGAGTAATTAAACTGAATATACAAGTAGTAATATATTTGTAGGTACAGGGAGAGTCAACAGCCTGTATGAAACACCTCTTCTCCCTTGGAACTTCTTAAAGGAAACTAAAGCACAGAGGAGGGGGGAGATGGAGGGGCAGCCCCTCTCCCTGGGAATGCAGCAGGGAGGGGGGGCTGCAGGAAGGAAGGGATTCCATGGGACCAGGCTCACACAGCTTTACTGAGGTGTTGCAGACACAGGAATGACCCCAGAGCTCCCTGGCCTCGAGCACCTTCACACAGGGGGGCTGCTCTGCAGAGCCCCCCCAGTGACAATCAGCCTCTGGGGCTGGGACAGAGACACTTCTAATTACTCTGAATTCGAAATAAATTACACCCTCTGCAGAAATCACATCTGTTCTGCAGAAAGAACAATCTGATTGTTAAACATGGTTAGGAAATGCCCAGTAGTGGAAGCCAGACCCAGCCCTGGAGCCCCTCCTGGGCAGTGGCTGCTGCTGGAGAATGTTTGTTCCTGCTCTTCTTGCACCTTATTTATCTTCATGCTTTTAAACTTTAATTGATAGAAATGGCCTTTCACTCCCAAGGACCAAATCCTAGAGAGTCTTGGGGCGAGTTCACCTGCAGGTATGGCCCTGCATGGAGTGACTGTGAGTGGGGCAGAGAGGAAAGCCCCAGCTGTAATTCTGGTTGGGATATTCTGTGCTGCCCCTGTGACCCTTTACCTGTGCAGCACAGGTGAGGCTGCCTGGTGGTGATTGACTATATTTTACTGTTCTGTTTTTTTTTCCTTTGAAAATCCTGCAGATTTCCTTTCTTCAGAAGTGTGGGAGCCTCATACCCAGTGAGTGACTGCATTTCCCTGGACACAAAAAGGAAAACTCATGGTGTGCTCAGGTGAGTGGCTTTTCCTAGGAGACAACAGCTGGACATGGGCACGTTGCTATTTTCTTGGGGTTATAAAGGGAGAGAAACTATCATAGATCAGGGAGAAAAACCCAAACAAGCAAAATTTCCAAAGCCAGGCTTCCATGAGCCGCCACAGGAGTGGGGTCTGTTCTCTGTGTGGTTCCCAACACAGCAGTAAAGCAGAGCACGAGAGACTTGAAATGCACAAAAATGATCAGCTACAGCTACAGTTGTTTAGTTTCCCTTGAAGAAATAAGTGGATAATACAGATCTGGAAATCATAAGGCTGAGAACATTTTTCTGCATACTGCATAACAAAAGAACCCCTTTACATAAGACAGTAATAATGCCCATTAATGACTATATGGCAGTTTAATCCATGCATATGATTTAATAATCGCAGAAAAAAACATACAAAGAAAATAAAACCCCACATTAAAAAAAAAAAACCTGCTCAAGCATAATCAAAATTCCTTTTGCATTGCACTTTAGAAGGAGATCTGCACCTAGAGCCAGTCTCCAGCATCCCAAACACACAAGGGCCAACCCCTGTATCCACAGACAGGTTCAGGTCATTGACTTGGTGTGACTGCTTCTTGCTCCCAACAGTTTTACATTGTCCCAGTAATTCCACTCCTTTCATATTTCTTCTTTTTTGTACCTAAAACATATATATGAACTTCTTTGTTAATGCTCACAGTTACTATAATGGTTACTATAATGGTTTCAAGCAAACAGCTCTTGTTTAAAAAAAAAAAAATCTCTAATGTACTGTAAGTAAATACCATAATTTTAGGATTGGAAGCCGCTTTCTGTCTACTGGGAAATAATTTTGAAGCTTACATAGTTTGCATTAATGTCCAAAAGCAAATAAAGATTACTGGAAATATGTTTCTTCTTTTAGAATAACTCTGGGTATGATGATGCATAGGGGGTTCTTTTTTTTTTCCTTTTTTTTTTTTTCTTTTTATTCTTTAAGGTAAAAAAGTGTCAGCATTGCCTAGAGAAGATGCTGAGAGGAAAAATGAGCTGGAAGGCACATCTGCAGCCCCAGATCACATTTTCACATGCTTGAGTGTGTCAGAGGTGAGTGTTTATGGGTGAAAATTAATTTTCTCCTGATCAGTAAAGCACCAGCTTTATTTATTAAGCACTTTTGGGAGCATCTCTGGTGCTCCCCAGCTTGGGTTAGAATCACAGCCACGAAACCAGGCTCTAACTGAACCAGCAGCACAGGGGGAATTCCTGCTCTGGGGATTCTGGACCTGCTGGATCCTCCTTTGCTTACACAGATGCTGATGGGAGGTGTCAGTGGTGGCAGATTGGGTTCATGGTTTGCACAGCTGTTAGGGCAGAATCTCAAATGCTTGACATGTACATCTTAGAGACAGGGAATAAAATGCAGAGTAAGATTCTGACAAAGTGCAGGTTTTTAAAAAATTAAAAAAAAAAAAAAATCCTCAGCACCACCCCCAAGGCAGTGATGGTTTGCTGCATTGTATCCCCGGGCTGCGGCTTGGATCCCAAAATTAAAGTAATTTCTCTTTTTAAAAACAAAAAAGTTTTTTTAAAAAAGATGTAGGCTTATTCACAGCAGCAAAAATGTTGGTTTTCTGTTCTGTAGTATCCGACACTGCGACGTTGGACTCTCCTTGGGCACAGAAATCCTGACTGACAGTTCAGAATGGAAGCAGGGAAATACTGAATTCATGGTAAGATGGTGCAACAAGATGAGTTTTCCAGAAAACTGAAAGCTGAAGATTTCAGAATGACTTCAACACACAGATGTCTCTGCTTTGTTCCTCTACCAACTGATCACCCATTTCCTTCCTTTCTTCCTTTCTCTCTTTCTTTTCCCAAGGCTGAAGTGCTCCTGGGTGAAGTCTCTGAACACAGGGGGGTCTGTGGGGCTGGGCTGGGGCTCTCAACCCAACCCCTTCTCCTCCCCTGACCCCCTGCACGCTCCTGCAGCTTCCCTTCTTCCTGTGTCCAGGGCAGGAAATGGACATAATTCATTCTAAGGAAAAAAAATCAACTTGGAAAAGCACTCTGAACTTCTCCTACACCCACGTGACGGGATGGAACCGAGATGGCTGGAAAACTGCTCCTGACATGGATGGCATCATCACCACAGAGGGGCTTCTGCACAAAGAATCCCAAAGCCTATAAAGTCATTAAAAATTGTGCATCGAAGGTTTGTGTTTTATTTTTTGTCTTTTTTTTTTTTTGTTTTGCTTTTAAAGGTTCATTATAAAAATCTTGTTAATTTTTTTTTAATACCAAGTCTGTGTAATGAATTATTTTAAATAGCTTATAAGAAAAGTTGGTTTGTTTTTAAATTCCAAAATGTTCCAACAGGCAGGAGAACACGAAGCCACTGCCGTGCTCGCCTTGGACTCCGGGTTTAGCTGGACCACGCTGCTTTGCTTGGAGTTTGCCAGTAGAAAATTTGCTGTGGACTTAAAAGTATTTTGTTTACAAACACTTTGTGTTTTCTAGGCACAGTAAGATGTTGTGCTATATGGATTGGGAAAAAAAAGAGGCGGAATTCAGTGCTTCTGTTCTAGAGAGTAACAACATTTGCCTTCCAACTACTGAGAATCCATATTCCTAAAGTGTGTGCCAGGACACCACTACTCACACGTGCACTCCCAGTCCCACTCTCTCCCTCCCTGTGCTGGGGGAAGAGAGGTCAGTTCTCCATGGGGCTCGAGGTGCTCTCACTGCTGGGCTGGCTGCTGGCTTTAGGCCACAGTTGTTCCTGAAGTTCCTTGACCACCTTCTCCAGGTGCTCCCGGGCCTCCCGCTCGTGCAGGAGGTCGGCGCGGAGCTGCTCCCGGTCGGCCTCGGCGTGCTGCAGCTTCACCTGCAGGTCCTCGATCTGCGGGGACAGGACACACAGGGTGTGGGACACGGGCTGGACACAGCCTGTGCCTCCCCACACACCTTGCACAGGGTCAGGGAAGCAAGAAAATGTGTACTCCAGGCAAAGGATTATCAAGATTGAGGTGAGGAAGGAATTCCCTGTTCCTGTTTTCCATACACTACTGCAGTACAGTGCCTGCTTAGCTTTGAAACCTAAACATTCCCAGTGACTCCAGCTCCAGAAAGGAAGGTGAGCACCAGAAGAGTTAAGAAACAGTTCAATAATTCCTTAGTGCCACAGAACTCTAGTCCCTTCTTCAAGCATGGCTGTTATTTCTTTAGGCAGTGACGGCAGCTCAGCAAAGCAAACCCCAGGTATTGGCACAGGGAATTCAGTTTCAGCTCTTTTTTGATTCTTAAGGGAAGTGACCAGACAGGGCCTTGGCTGCTGATGGGCCAGGCCTGTCCCAGCTATGGATTAAAGCCCTGCAGTGTCCCCCACTCTGCTCCCAGCAGGACCTGGAGCTTTCCCTGTTTGGTACTTTCTGACAGCAAAGGCAGAGAAAACCCCCAGGACTGGAGGGTGCAAGTATCAGAGAAACAGCACCCAATGAGAAAGGAAATGTGAGCAGTCAGCAAAGATTGCCCTTTAACAACGAAAGGAAACCTCCAATGTTTTGGGCTGAAATGCTGGTAAACCTCCCCCATCCACGTTTGGATTTCAGTATCAAGGCAAGTAAAAGGAAGGCATAAACCACAGCTCCTCAATGGGCATTAAGCATCTAATACTTTAAGTCTACATAGAGGCATTTCCACCCTGACTCTGTTATCTTCTGCCACCCTGGCCTGATGCTATTTCTGTCAGACTGAGCCTGTTTAGAGAACTGTGGTTTCCTCAAAAATAATATGTGACCAACTTCCTCTTGCACCCCAAGCTGTAGCTACAAGGACGTATAAAGCTTTATTTTAAAATTTCTCAAGAACTTAAGTTATAATGACATCTTATAAAATTCAGCCCTGGGAGTGAGTTACTCACAGGAGTTTTGTTACCAGCTGTGCCAGCCACAGAACAGGAGCTGCCACGTGCCCTTTGCCCAAAGACAGCTCTGGGGGGCTCAGGGGTGCCTGTGACAGGGGGCTGCTGCAGGGGACACTGCCAACCTGCCAGGGCTGGCCTCAGAAAAGAGGAATAATTGCCTGAGTTCTTTTTGAGGTGATTCTTAGCCTTTAAGTTTAGGAAACCTCATCTATTCCTTCCCAAGGAGGGAATGCATTAAGAGACTGAAAATTCCCATTGTCACACATTCACCCCCAGGACACACCTGAGCCCCCAAGCCCAGCCCAGCCCGTGTTCACCTGCCCCGGAGCTGCTCCCCAGGGCCCTGCAGGGAACGCCCAGCACAGCAGCCCCAGGGCGGCTCTGTTTAGTCTGGACACCCCTTATCAGCCCTTATCAGTGAGACATCCTGTGATGCTGAGAGGAAGCCCCACATCATTTCCTGCTCCTGGCCAGACGTGTCTCAGCGGGAGCAGGCGGCCACTCCCCTTCCCCTTATCAGAGCCCTGGAGATTGTGAGCTTTGCTTCTGCTCTTCCCCTCCTCCCTTAAAGCCACCACGCCAGGGACCTGCAGCTCCCACCTCCAGGAGCACCTGTGTCTCACAACGGGCTGCTCCAGCACTCCTGGAATTCCCTCTGCCACGAGCTTGTCAGGGCTATGTTAAACTATGTAAAGTATTTGAAGTATAAATACACACAAATTCAAGTATGTTAAACAGCAGCTTTTGAGGACTATGTCTGAGGGCTCCCTTTAACATGGGAGGCCCTGACACCTCTGTTGCAGGTGCATGGAATGAGTTTAAATTCAAGCCCCCATTTTTTGGCATCCTGGCTGTCCCCTGCCCTCTGCTGATGCCTCTCCCAGCCAGGCTCCCAGATCAGGAGCAGGGGTGGGAGCAGCGCCCGGCAGGGGATGCTGGGCAGGGGGAGGGAGCTGAGGAGCCGCTCCTGCCCCTGCTGGGCCTCACCTGTGCTGAGTACTTGGCCCGGAGCCTGCCGGCCTCGCAGCCCTTGTCACACACGCGGATCTGCCGCGCCTGCTCCAGCTCCCTCTTCAGCCGCACCCGTGACTCGTTGGCCTCCTTCATCTTCTTCTCGTTCTCGGCTCGCAGACGCTCGATCTCCTTCCGCAGGTTGCGCTTGGCCTCTGTTGCTTCCCTCAGCTTCTCTTTCTTGGCCACTCTCAGGAACTCCAGCTCCTGGGACAACACAGAAGCAGGTATGGATGAGTGAAGGAAGCAGAGCTGCAAGGGAAGCCATCCAAACCACATTCCCACCTCCTGCTGCTTGTGACCAAGGCAGCCCACGGCTAAACCCCACTCTGAACCTTGCACGAGCCCTTCTCCTTTAAATCCTGTGGAGTTCCTGCACTCCAGCTACCCTGAAGCCCAGGATAACAAAAAGCTCAGCGCTACAGCCCCATTTTGCTTTGTCAAGCAGAATAGCTGCGACCATCTGGGCCTGAATAAAGATGAACTGCAGTTGGAGAGAGCTCCAGCACCAGCTCCACGTTCCAAACCACCCGACTGCAGTGCCTGGGCTGGAGCTGAAGCTCTGAAGATGCACAACGTGGAAAGTGCAGCTCTGAGTGTCCTTTGTGTATGGCAAAGCTCGACAGGACATCAGAAATCAGTTCCATTTTACAATCCCCCCCAAAAAATCCACTCAGGGCAAGGACAGAACACAAACTGTGTAGTTTCTATCTCTGGAGTGCTGTAGGTGACTGGGGTGAGTCCCAAGACTCCTGACAACGAGCCCAAGGACTGCTCTGTCACAAGAGCTGGAAAACTCCAGGCTAAAACCTGAAGCAGAACGGAAACCACACATTCCTCTGGGAACTGCCACTGCCCCTGTCCAGGCTGGGAGAATCCCAAATCCATGAGGGAACCATTAATTGAAGTGATAATGATAAGGAACCTTCAAGGTACAAAGGAAGAAACTCCTAAGCTGTTAAAATACATGTTCAGAGCAAGCACAGAGATGTGGCTCACGTTTCCTAAATGGTTAAATTAGAAACTAAAGATCTATTTTTTCCCCCAGAAGCAGCATTTCCTCCCTGTCCGAGTCAAACCCTCCAGCCCCAGTTGCTGTGAAGTAACACTGCAGGGTCATGGGAAATTCACTCTTCTGACAATCTCACTTCCCAGCCAGGCCATTGTTAGCTCTGGAAGTACACACACAGCCTCTGGAAATACACACACACACATCTCTTCTGTGTGTGGCACTGGGAACCCACACCTTCCCAACTGGGCAAGGATGTTTGGACACCAGAGCCCCCTGCCCCAACACAGGGCTTCATTTAACACTCAACTGCTTCATGTAATTCCTGCTTTAACTACACACTCTTTAGGTATTACACATACATGTTTACTTTTAAATACACAAACTAAAACACAGATTTACTGGAACACAAAGGAATTAAGCAATTTGCTCAGGGTAACTGAAAAAAACAGCATCAGTGCTGGTTTTGTGTCTCCCATGCTTAATCAAACCAGGCCCTTGTTTACTCCACCCCATGGATTCTAGCCCCAGCTTGGGAACACTTCCACACCAAATATTCAAAGAGGACACACAAATCTTCTACGTTGGCTTCCTCTTCTATTTCTCTGCACCCTTTTTACCCCAGCTCAAAGAAAAGCCAGTTCACCCATCACTGTGCTCAGTCCTGACCTGCAGCCCTGCCTGACCACGGATACAACTGATGGATCCAGGATCTCCAGAAATAAGGAGCTGCTTCTCTGACTGAAGCTCAGCAGTGTGGCCAGTGGGATGCCTGACAAAGCCCTTACTTCAGCTGTGGCTGTGTCCCAGGAACACCCTCCCTCACAGAGCCTTTAAAACTCCAGCTAAAGCCTCCAGAAATGTTTCCTGTTCAGTGAAATGAAAACAAAATAAACTCTGCTGGACTAGAAGATTTTTTCAGTAATGAAAAGATGTTGATTTTGGTAACCATGGATTTATAACCCAAGGAAAAACAGGTGGCAAGCTTAAAAACGTAGGACTGGGTCCTGTGCTTTGGTTTCCCGGCTGGATTTACAAACAGAGCCCCAGCAAAGGCTGTTGCTATTTGGGAAAAATGAGGCAATTCCTTTTTCAGAGCTCCCTGCTGGGCTGTACCTGGCAGGGCAGGGCAGCCTTACCTGGTGCAGGCTGCGCTTGGCCTGCAGGGCAGCGTTCAGCTTCTCCTCCTGCTTCACCCTCATCTTCACCACCTCGTGCAGGAACTTCTCTTTGGCTTCTTTTGTGTCCAGGCCACTGTCCAGGGCCTGCCTGAGGTGCTCCAGCTCAGCCTCCAGCCCGCTGCTGTGGGGGTCAGGGTGTGTGGCCACCTCGTAGGAGCTGTTGACAGGGGCCGGGGGCTGCATCCCAGGGGAGCTCATGTCCTTGGCAGAGCTGGAGGAGGTGAAGGATGGGGAGGAGAGCGAGGATAAGGAGGAGGTGACTGGAAAACAGAAACAATGAAAATTAATTTTAAAATGTCAAAAATTAAGACATAATTATATACAACTCATATATATATTATGCAGCTCAAAATGTGCTGTCCCTTTTGTACAGAGACAATAATCAATTTTAAAAACGAAAGGAAATTAAAAACCTACTCATTTTATACCTTGATACTTGAAATATGATGAAAATGCAACCTTGATTTAAGGAACTGAGTTCAATTTGTTTGAATTCTGACTGTACAACTCATGTCACAAAGGCACCACTGAGGCACTGGGCTTCCAGAATTCCATTTAAACCCCACAGAAGCTGCACGGGAACTCCAGCAAAACAGCCCAGCCCAAATAAACTGACACAAAGGCAGCCTTAAGTGTCACTTACATTCTTCCCTGGTTTCTACTTCAATCTCTGCTTCTGACTCCTTGTCCTCCTCGGGGGCGGTGGCCGTGGTGGCCGTGGTGGCCGCGGTGGCCGCAGCCTCGGGGACAGCCGTGTGCTCGGGGCCGTGCTTCCTCTTCCTGGGCTGGGCAGAGCCCAGGGACTCGCTGCTCCGGGACACCACGGTGGCACAGGGAGGGTTGCTCACGATCTTCTGTTGGGCTGGAGGGGCCAGGGCCACGTTGGGAGCCACAGCACTCTCAAAGCTCTTGTAGGAGTAAAAGCTGGTTCGGAGGAGGAGGCAAAAAGGAGAAAATGGTCACAATTCCTGGCTTTGGAGAGTTTCCCCATCCAGTGTTCCACTGCTAACGTGCACAGGAATGGCAGTGAGAACCTGCCCATGGTACTGGTTAGTGTTTTGTCCTCCCATCACAAGTGCCACATACCCTAAGAGCACCAAGGAGATGAGATCTCCCAGAGCCTAAAAAACAGCCTGAAGCTGTTTCCTCCTGCTCTTCATGGCACGGTTGTTTTACCCAACTGCACAGCTGGACTTGTGTCTATCCACAAATGTTTTGTAAACTCAAAACAGCACTTCCTCAAGGAAAACTATGGACTGGGAAAACATCTTCTTGTGCCTCTGTGATTCTGACACACACCTGAGTGTCTGTGTGTAAAACCACAGGTACAACAACCAACAAACCTTTGGTTAAACCTTGGTGTTAAAGAGGAGCAATAACATAACATCAAATACATGGAATTTTGCAAAAAGCAGAGTGAAGACTTTGCAGCTTCAATTCAGCACCTACAACATGATGTGGCATCAGTTAAAATTTCTCCTGGAGCTGTTGTAGGTGGGGTTTATCCAATACTGAAATCAGCCAAGTTTCTCACAGGGATACCAAGGGCACTTACACCACCTCTTTCCCTACCTAGTTTAAAAATTATGATATGCTGATAGGCTTTTCCCCTTCTATTTTCTTTTTTTTTTTTTTTAAATCAATCACCACAGCTTCTAAGAAACTCTTTCATAAGGGCAGCACAATATGTTCTCCAAAATATTCCCTAAAAACACCTGGTCACTTGAGTCAAACTTTCCAAAGAAATCATCACCCTCAGGCAGAAATCTGGCTCGGAGGTTTTTCAGACTGCACAGCTCCAGTCTGGCACAGGGATGTCGAATTGCCCCGACACTTTCTGCTCTCAGTGTGACACCGAGGTCCCACCTGCTGTGGGTGACTCACTCAGGGCTGTTCCTCTCCAAGAGCAGAGCATGGCCTCGCTGTCTGGACGGGTCTGACAAGCTCCAGAGCCAGGACCCCCCCAGGGCCAGGGCACACAGAGGCTTTGGGGAAATCTCTGCTGTCCTTCGGCCTCGCTGGCACTGTGGGGATGGGAGGGGACGGAGCTGTGCTGGCAACAGGGAGCGGCTGCAGGTACCACGGACAGGGGCCTGGGAATGGCTGCATCTCCCTGACCACTGCCCCAGCACGGGGACTCTGTCTTCCTTTCAGCAGCAAAGCCCAAGACCTCTGATGCCTGTACCCCCAAGTACAGTCCTGCACCCCTTCACAGCAGCCTCCACCTGACACTTCCATGGCAGGTGTCACTTTTAACCCCCCTGCGCGCACAAACCAGCAACACCTTTTTGTGTTTCCTTTCTGCAAACGAAACCCCTGCAGCTGCAAACGCTCTGACTGAGCATGGGGACAAACCCAGAGCCCGCTGCCACCCCCAATCCCGTGTCCCTGTGTCCTTACCTGTCCCGGATGAGGGCGGGCAGGTGGCTGGAGAGCTCCTTCTCGCTGGCAGACACGGCGGGGGACCAGGGCCGGAAGGCAGAGAGGCGCTGCCGGGGATGGACACAGCCGATGCTCTGGGGACAGGGCAGGAAAGGAGTGACTCCAACAAACCTTTGAAACAATCAATCACCACAGAGGGGAACTGCGCCTTCCCAGGGCACCCTCAGTTATCCCCACAGCTGCTCCCCACCGGCCACGACCTCCTTGCTCAGGGGTTCCACTGGCAGAGGGGAGCTGCACTCGTGGGTTTTGTTGGGCAACAAATTCTGAATAGTTTATAGGGATCACAAACAGCTCCTGAGCCTTGCAGGATTCCTGTACCTCAAAGGCACAAGGGAATTCCTTACTTCCCTGTCACAATCCAGGTCAACGAGCACTGGAGGGTGACAAGGAATCCGGGGGGACTGTGTAGGAAAAGGATAGAAATGTTACTAATTTAGAAACTCCGGGCATGTTCTTTCCCTCATTTTCTCCTCTGGTTTCAGCAGAGTGATGCTTTGTGACAATTTAATCTCTTGATTACAAAATATTCAACAATCACCTTATTCGATGAACTGGATAAGGACCGTAACCAACTGGACTGTTTTTCCTTCTCAGTAGAAGCTGGAGATTGGGAAGCAGAGTCATCTATTTTGGGCTTTTTGGAAGCAGGAGGATCTGAAGAGACCTGAAGAAAAGGCAGGAAAAATGAAAGTCAGAATTCTTCATTTTGCAGTCAGCTTAGAAACAAGTTACAAGGCAGAAGCAAATTTTATTATTTAAAAGGAAGAAACTCTGGGTGTTTTTCTTCTTTTTCAAATGTAAGCCCAAACAAAGGAGTGCAAACAAGGGACAGACACAGACTGTGACATAACACACTTCACTCCTTCATGGGAGACACTCAGGTCAAGTGTGCATGGCACAGGAGAGATGGGCAGTGATCAAAGGGAGACACTCGCTCCAAGCTGCAGAGAACTATCGGCCTTTTATGATTTTTGCATGCAGAAAGGTAAGTTTAATGTGGTTGCTGAACTGGAAAGATTATTTTAAACGAGAACAGAACAGACTTTGTTATTCTGTTTGCAGTGGTTGTTATGCCGATGACTTCACTACCCCACAGCTGCAGTGGATTCTGGGGGTGCTGCCAAGAGCTGCTTTGCCTTTTCCACAAGTGGCTCAGCTTGGCCCATAAATCATCCTCAAGCATAAGAAAGCCCTTTGGCAAGCAAAATCCCTTTCCTTCAACACTGTGAAGGAATAAAATTCCTATAGTCCCAGCGTGGCTTGCAAAAAAATTGGTAACTACTGGTTTAACTGGTGCACTGGGGATACCAGCTGGAAACCCTGCCAGTACAAACACCCCTCACAGCAGGGAGGGAGAAGGTTCTGGACCTTGTGCTGCATCATGACCAGAAACAATAAAAGAAACATCCCACCCCGGTTTCTGTTCCTTTTTCTGTCTTTTTGCAGTTCCAAACTCTCCACCTTTCCCCATTCCCACCCAGCCTGGCTCCCAGAAGGGTGGCAGAACCACACTGCAGTAATTCGTAATTGCTCATATTTGCATTCATTTGTTTCATCCTTTCACTTCACCGTGATTTTTGTGGGCAAACAAGTGTTGATCCAGGTGTGTCTGGAGAACCCAGGGGTGGCAATATCCTGGTGTCCTTCCCAATGACAGAAGGGATCTCATTCACCAATGTCCTCTGTTCTAAAAATCGGTCCCCTCAAGGCACCTTCAGCTGGGAACTCAAGAGGCTTCTTCTCCAGGTGATACTGAACTCTGAGCACTGTGATTTAAATGATTTACCTGAAAAGCACTTGCAGAATTGTCCAAATGCCCTTCTCAGGACTCTCTACCCAAGAGCCCTCTAACTGCACCCCATTAGCACCTTGATTAGGAGGAAATTACAGCCCCGTGTCCATGCAGAGCCTGCTGCTCCCATGGGAGCAGGGCAGATGATTCCCCAGCCCATGCCAGCCCGTCTGGCAGCACCCCTCGCTGCCCTGGGCAGCCCAGTGTGCCCAGCAACGTCACCAAGCCAAGCCTGGAGGGCTCAGCACAACATTCCCTGGCACTGCAGAGCTCGGGGCAGCTTTCCATACGTAGCAGATGAAGGAGGATGACATGGGGGTGTGTGTGTGTGTGTGTGTGTGTGTGTGCAACCCCCAGGACAAAATTAGCCCATGCCAGTGCCAAATTCCAGCTCCATGGGATTTGCAGCAGATTCTTTGGGCACAGCTTCAGGCTTCCCCAGGGCTGCCTCCTGCCCAGCCATGGCACTGGCCCTCGGACCCAACTAGGAAAAGGCATTGCTGAGCCTTTCTGTAGAAAACACAGGACAATGCACTGGAAAAGATTTGTTTCTGCTCTCGGAGATGCTGCCTGTGCAGAATTAGTGACAGCATGAGAAAGGCATTTGGCAAGTGACTCCTGATCCCAGCCCTATCCACTGGGGATGGGGAGCTGTGTGGGGAGGGGAGCTCGGGCTGCAGGGTGGGGAGGAAGGGGGGCTTGGAATGAAAAAGGCAACAGGTGGCAAGACTCAGCATGGAACCCATCCCTCCCCCTGTCCGTCCTGAACATTCTGTCCAGGCGGGAACGGGCCCCGAGCAGGACCAGCACCCCAAGCACACCCAGCTCTGCAAATGGGGAGCAGGGTCAGCCCTGGAAACCCTAGAGCTTCCAGGAGAGAGATGTTTCAACAGGATGATCTCGTTTGCATTTTTAAAGGAATCATCTCCAGCTTTCTCCACTGTTCCCCTTATTTCACCTTCAAGTCAAGGCTGAACCAAGGATCCAGGAGGCTCTGAGCACAAAACCTGGGAAATGCTGCTGCACTTCCATGTGCAGAAGCCTGTGCTGATCGGGAAACACGGGGAAAAAAGCAGCAAAGGAGGGGTGTACACGGAGGAAAACAGGGCTGTCCTCCCCCAGAGGGATGGAAAGGGGACAGAAAAGGAGGGGCTGAGCAGAGCCTGCAGGTTTTTCTAAGCTGAAGTCCTCTCCCAGCCCTGGACACTCCTGAGAACTCAGAGCTGCCTGAAGTGGAGCAGCAGTTCAGAGGACTCAGGGCAGGGCAGGACACAGCGTGGTCTGGGAACTGCTGTGGTGACTCCTCCAATCTCCCCTATCCCACCTGGGTTCCAGGGATCATCTGCTGGTTGAGGCAGGAATTTGCCTCTTTCTTGGTAGATGCTTTTAAAAACCCACCCTGGATTTAGGCTTCACTTTAACAACGTAAAAATGCAACAATTCCAGTAGTTTCTACTACAGGAAGAGACTCAGATGTGGAACAAGACAAACACTGAGCATCAAATCTCCTCTCCATGTGACTCAGCCATTACATCCCACTCCAGGACAGATTCCAGGCACCAAGATACCCCAACTCTGACACTTCCAGCCCAGCCACAGCAGCCAGCAAACCTTGGTACTGCTTCAAATGGGGATGATTTGTGACAAATAATGAAACCCACACCAAGCTGCAAAAGAAATACTGAAAATCTGATCTATTTTTTTTGCCATCTTCATAAATGATTTATTAAACACTTGAACAAAAACTCAAGAAGACTGAAATAAATATTTCCTTATTTCCTATTCATTTTTATTTCCATTGGAGGCAACTTAATAATGTGCTGTCAAATGGGCTTTGTGCTGGGCACAGCCACTTGTTAATAAACATTTTCTCCAATCCACAGATGGAAGAAACTTCAGGATACAAAGTGGGCCCAGAACTGCTTACATGAAATATTTACTTAAGCTTTGGGACTGTTGGTTTCTGAAGCAAATTTTAGGGAAAAAGAGATAGAGAAAGATTTATACAGTCACTAAAAAAAGATTTCAGAGGTACATTCCAAAGGGAAATTTGGGCCTGTGAACTTTGCCAGCCATTTTAAGGCAAACCGAAATTAGGCGGCTCAGCCTGGCCTGCAGCCAGCCAGGGCCACATTTGACATGTCAGATCAAATTTTCTACTTCAATTAAGTATTACAGTAACAAACCATGAGACCAGTGGAAAGAATTTTTGACCCTCTCCTTCTCAGGAAGACAAACCTCCCCCAGAGCTGGGGAGCAGGAGCAGCAGTTGCAGGTCAGGCACCTCAACAACACTTTTTGCTACAAATGCAATGGAAAATGAGGCCAGAAAAAATTCTTGTATTTTAAAATGTGGGAGTGCTCACAGGTATGATTCTTGGTGCCCGAGTATTTACCAAAATACAATTCCTGAATAATTCACGTTTTTCCCCCTGTATCCCAGTGTCACACACCTGGATTGAGCAAAGGCTTTGCTCCCTCCTCATCCTGTGCTGCTCTGCCCCAAACCCACGGCAAGTGCTACTGAAAACTGGGCTGCTTTTGCCTTGTTAAAAATGGAAACATCAACAACACTTAGAAGGCCTCCATACCTGTGCAACTTTTAGCTTGGAAATGTACCTTCAAAAATCAGCCCATGCTCCAAATCCTCATATATCACCCTTTGCTGATAAAATCTCCCCAGACTGGGTCTGAGTTGGGCAATAAATCCCAAAACCTGTTTAAAGACAGAGATCAGGTAGAACAGGGCAGTGGCAGAGGTTTATGTGCACTGGTCACCTTTCCCAGGCCAGGGGTGACTGCACTTCTGTGCTGCTCTCACTGGGCAATCCTGCCTTTGGCTTCATCTGCTCCTTTAGGGAGGGATGGGAAATGTGGGCCCCAGACCAGCAGGAATCCTGGCACATCCTGTGGCATCTTTAGAAAGAAAAGATTTAATGTTCCCAAAGTTACTGAGCTATCCCAACACAGAGAAATCTGTATTCCAACCTCTTGAAAAATTAATTGGGAAAATCCTGCGAGGCTGTAGAATTCCGTTTTGTATCCTTAATGCAGGTGTAAATCAGAAACGATTCCACTGGAAAACCCAGCAGCTGGAAAAGCAGTGATAAGCAGAGAAAATAAAAACTGGGCTGTAAATCTACAGTGTCCTCTCATTGTGCTGCTCATTCTCACCCGGGGAGCTCAGTTACACCCTGAGAACGGGTGGAGCTTCCTGTCCCATCGGATTCCCCGTCTGGGTGCAAGAACTCAGCCACTTTCTCAGCAGGGCTGGGCTGATGCAAACCCAGAGAAACCCAGGGAGGCTCAGCTGGTGCCCAGACGTGCCAGACAGCACAGGGGTAAAACTACACCAGAGCAGCACCCCCTGCACCCCAAGGAGCTGCCAATCTCTATTTCATGGTGCTCTGAACTCCAGAAAATATCTGCATAAGCCAAGGTTGAGCAATCAGTGTCTGAGCCCTGTTCTTGCTCCACGAAGGGCACGTTGAGAAACACAAGTGGAACTGAGAGGGAGAACTCCCAGGGTCTATTCGAGGTGGCTTTCCTGCTTCACTTGTGTGACCACAGAGCAGTCACACCCAGCTGACAGCAGACAGAAAATGGGTAACACCACTGACCCATTTTGAAAGGGTGCCATGACATTTATCTCCTGCTTTTACTTGGAACAGAAGGATGCAGTTTTATTTTAAGCCCAGTGAAGTCCTGGCCCTGAGTGGTCACTCCTCCTCCAGGAGCACCCAGGACATTTCTTTCAGGCTCCTGCTGGCACAGGGATTAAGAAGTTCCCCAGCTGTGTAAAATGGCATTTCAGAAGGAATGTACCTTGACCAGTGACAAGGATTCAAATCTACTCCTGGAGGTTACTGAGA